ACAGGGGCAGGTGCTTGAAGCCCCCACATCAAGCAGTGGACCGCCTGAGTTCAGGGCTCAGCTCCACGCACTATCCCTGTTCCTGTTTCTGCGCACGTAGGAAGGCAGCAGGTTATGGCTCAAGTAGCTGGGAAGCTGGCTTTCTGGCATAGCAGGTGAAGCCGCTGCCTGCAATACTAGTATCCTATATGGGCTCCAGCTTGTGTCCTAATTCCAACATTTTCTTTTTTTTTTTTTTTAAGATTTTTTTTTTAATTTTTATTGAAAGGCGAATATACAGAGAGGAGAGACAGAGGCCAGGAGCCTCTTCTTCCGAAGCCAGGAGCCTCTTCCGGGTCTCCCACGCAGGTGCAGGGTCCCAAAGCTTTGGGCTGTCCTCGACTGCCTTCCCAGGCCACAGGCAGGGAGCTGGATGGGAAACGGGGCTGCCGGGATTAGAACCGGCACCCATATGGGACCCTGGGCTTGCAAGGCGAGGACCTTAACCATTGCGCCACCATGCCTGGCCCCCTAATTCCTACATTTTCCATCCAGTTCCCTATGAGAGGCCTGGGAAAAACAGTTCAAGATGGCCTCCATGTTTGGGCCTCTGGAACCCACATGGGAGACCTAGATGAACCTCCTGACTTCAACCCCGCCCAGCCACGGCTATTGTGATCCTCCAGGGAGTGAAATAACAAATGGAAGATTTTTCACTTTCTGTATCTCTTACCCCCTTTCTCTCTGTAATTCTGACTTTCAAATAAACAGATCCTTAAAAAAAAAAAAAAAGCAAGCACCATAGCACAGCAAGTTAAGCTGCTGCTGGCTGCTGCACAGTTGTTAATTCCGGATTCAGTTTCAGGGCTCTGGCTTCTGCTCAACCCATCCTCAGTTACGGTGGGCATCTGGAAAGCAAATCAGGCCACAGATTTCTCTGATTCTTTCTCTTGTCTCTTGATGACCCTTGGCGACATACATACTGACTCACACTGACTCCCAGGGGGCTTTCAATATGAGCATATTATAACAATATGTATATTTTAAAATACCAAATGGAAATGCTAGACTTGCAAAATGTAATATTTGGAATGAAAAACACACTGTTCAGTTTAAAGGTAAATTGTCAATGGCAGAAGAAAACATCAGTAGACAAAAACATAGATGAAGAGAAATTATACAACCTGAAGAACAGAAAGAAAAAAGATTGGAAAAAGATTTAGTGAGCTTCAGTAACTTGTGCAATAGTATCAGAAAGTCCAGGGGCTGGTATCACGGCTCAGCAAGCTAAACCTCTGCCTGCAGTGCTGGCATCCCATCTAGGCACAGCTTCGAGTTCTGGCTGCCCCACTTCTGATCCAACTGCCTGGAGAGCACATATGATGGCCTAAGTGCTTTGGTTCCCGTGCCCATGTTGGGAGACCTAGAGGAAGCGCAAGACATCTGCCTTCAGATTGGCCTTTCCTAGGCCCTTGCAGCCATTTGGGGACTCTGAAACTCTACCTTTCAAATAAAAGAAAAAAAAAACTTACAAAAATATCAGAAAGTCCAGCCATAGGAAACATGGATGATACATAAAAAGAAACCCCACAGAGAGAGCTCAAGGTCCAACTGCTAAAGCCCAAAGATAATAGTTTCTTCAGAACTACCGCTGCAAACAATCACTCGGGAAAACACCAACAGGTGTCGCACAAGCGAACATTATGCTGCCTCTCATTTTATCCATAGCTATCTATCTAAGACAGATGGAAAATACATCCACACAAGATCTGAATACAAATGTCCTCCACAGCCTTACTCACAGTCACTGCAAACCAGAAACAACCCATGGATCAGTCAATAAAGGAAATGGAACAGTATGCATCAAAAAAAAAAAGACACAAAATGGCACATACCCTCATTATGCTGAGTCAAAGAAGGTGGCCACAAAACACATACTGCATAGTCCTACTAATACTAAAGGGGCACGTGGAGACACTCCAGGATGCGAGAGGTGTTCTGTACCTTGACTGTGACGTGTTCTTGTAAGGCTGCAGGCAACTGTCAAACTCGCGGATTTTTACATGGATGAAGTTTATCGTATATAAAGTATTCGTATAAAGTTGACCTAACCTTACTTGTTTATTTTTGTCTGAAAAGAGAGACCGAGACATAGAGATGTTCTTTCTATCGGGTCACTCACCAATGCCCTGCAATGGTTGGGGATGGGCCAGGCTGAAACCCAGGGCTCGGAACTTCATCTGAGCGTCCCACATGAGTTAACACAGACATGCATACTTTAGCCATTACCAGCTGACTCCCAGAGGTGTGCTTAGCAGGAAACCAGAACGGGAAGCAGAGCCAGGACTTGAACCCAGGCATTGAGTTATAGGACATGTTCCAAGCAAGCTCTTCATGCCTGAGCCAAACTCCTGCCACTAAAGTTAATTTTTTAAAAAACAAAGTGGCCAGAGGGGAAAAAGACACATAATACAGGGAAATATAGCAGCACAGCTGATCGCACACCAAAAATCAAAAGGCCAGGAGTGACTTCAGCCAGAGTGAAAATGGGAAGTCCGCCTTCAATTCCCTTATATAAGCAATGGCTTAGGAACAACATATGATCAAAAAAGGAGAACTCCAGAAATCAGTGTGGAAGTCACTGAACCTCAGGCAGGCTCAAAGCCTAGGACTACACTGAGATGGCTAAGAAACGCCACCTCATTTCAACCAAGTCTACTACTTCCCCAAGTCAGCGCAGCTCCATGCCACTGGGTAGAAAATCCCAACTGGTGGCTTCCCACCTGGCATACAGACAGGGTGGAAGGTACAGTCAACCTTGCAGCTTTTCAGAAAGCTTCCAAAGGACTGGCTCTGTCTCACAAAGCCTGGGGCACCGACAGGGAAGCAGAACACTGGGAATGCTCGGGAGCCGCTGAGAACCAAAGAGAACTCTGTAGCTCACTGTGGTAACAGACACTTAGCAAACACAGCTGGCTCCACACGGCCTGGCTCCACACGGCCTGGAGAACACGTCTAGCACATGGGATAGACAGGGTTAGTCTCCTGTTCTGGCTCCCTAGGAGACTGACCAAGCAGACTACTCCACTGGGTTCTTACTCTGTTCATGCATCATTTTCCTGCTTCCACTTGGCCGTTTAGCAGTGTCCCACCACACAGCACTAAGGTAATACATGTATTTTCAATTCTTTGTCCGCAGTTTGTCTCCATTTTAGGGTTGGCTGCTAGAGATCGACTTTTTTTTTCTTGAATCAGGCATGTTTCTCTGTTTCTTCATGTGCCTTGGAGCACTGAGAGTTCTGGAATGGTACCCACAGACAGCAGACGGAGAAAGACAATAAAAGTTCCTAAAAAAGCAGGAAATCTCTCTCCCTGGGAAATTACACACACAAGCCCAAAGAGGAGGCACCCCCACAACAGCACTGAGACTCCCCTAAGCTCTCAGCGGGGCTCACTGGCGAAGATTTTCCCGAAGCCAGTTCACCAAGACTGGAGGAGATGATCTCTCTCTCTCTCTCTCTCTTTTTCTTTTTTCAAAACACAGATGACAACAAGAATTAACAAGACATATTTACAGAGAAACAGAGCTCAAAGTGGGAAAAAAAATCTAGAAACAAATCCTAAAAAAAAGCAAACTGTGAATTAGCTGACAAAGAATTGCAAAATAACCATATTAAAGAATGTCAGTGCCATACAAAAGAATGCAGAAAAGCAACTAAATGAAATCAACAAAAAGGATTATGATTAAAGGAAGAAAACTCAACAAAGAGACCCCATGAAAAGAATCCAACGGAAATTCTGGATCTGAATAATACAGGAACTGAATTTTAAAAATTCACCTCAGGAATGAATTTATACAAAGCACCAATAAAACAAAACCGCAGAAAAGACCCGAGAAGATGTTGGACAGACGGTACACCAATGGGCAACCAACAAGCACACGAAAAGGTGTGCAATCTAAGCCATTAAATACAAATTTAAAACATTTCACATGTGTCAGAAGGATTAAAATAAAAATACTGACACTATCAGATGTTGGCACGGATGTGGGAATGCTGGAATTCTCATTCATTGACAGTGGAACTACAAACTGGTACTACCATTCCAGAAAGCAGTTTGGGTGTTTTTTGGTGAAGTTTAATATACACCTCCCCTATTCAATGTTTATACTGTTTAAAAGAATTGAAGATATCCCCCCCCCACACACACACACACAAATGTACAAGAAGGCTTATAGTTCTATTTTTAATAGTCAAAATCCAGAAACAACCTGTAAAAGTTCACTGTCAGGAGAAAAAACAAACTGTGATAAACCATAGCCAAAACAAATTACTAATATCTGGATGAATCCCAAAAGCCTTTAGTTAATGAAATTAGCCAGAAAACACGCTGGCTGTCATGATTCTGCTTACGTGAAGTTAACCAAGAGGCAAAACTGATCTATGGTGATAAAAATAATGTAAAACTAATGCCTAAAAAGAAGTTGTAATGAACAGGGAGGGATAGAGAAAAACTCCCTGGAGTAATAAAAATGTTCCAACACCTCACTAAGCTATTGATTAAACAGGACTATATGACTGTCAAATCCCATCACACTATACCCTTAAGATATGTGTATTTTACCATATATAAATTAAATCTCAAAAAGTTTACTTGTGAAAATCACAACATAAATTAATAAGGTAAATCTGCATTTTCTAAAGTAGACCACAATGAAAAAGATTCCAAGCAAACTTTATTTTTAATCATTTACATGAGGTTTAATGCTCCTCAAGTATAAAAGAAGTAACTTTAAGATGTGCCTCAAATTTATTAATAGAACTACTGGTGTGCATGTAAAAATTTCTCTTTAATGTAAAGAATTTCAATAGGGTACTATGGCCTCTGCTTCCACTCAGTAGAAATGATTTTTATGATGCTATAGACTTTCTTAATACAAACGACAACAGAGTACAGATCTGGATAAGCAGATAAACGCCAGGAGGTAACAGCCTAGCACAGCGGGGAAGGCGGCGCCATACCTGTGGGAAGAGGGATGTATATTCTTTTTTCTAATCTCCTCCGCAATGCTTCATCAATGTCCCACGGGAAATTAGTAGCAGCCAAAACCATCACCATCTTGGAAGGATCATCACTTTCTAAAGCTCCTCCGACCCCTGTACAAGTGAAGAAGCAAAGTGTTCTTACAGTGCTTTATTCTTTGATCCAGCCGACATTTGCGAATGTTAGCCAACGTGCACACTGGCATGATCCATGATAAAAACAGCTTGACCTGTCTGACCTCCTTGGGGCAGCAAAACCGAATGTAGGACAATTAAAATAACAAAGTAGAAGTCACATAATCTAGTCTAGGATTCTATTCAAATAAGGAAAAAGTATTTCTTCTATAAGAAAATGAATATATTTTCTTCTAAAAGGGCACAGAAGCAGGGCTCTCTTTTAGCCTTACTCCCAGAAAGATAATACTTGTTTGAAAAACAGAAAGAGAGAGACAGAAAGGGAGAAGTAGAGAGTGCTCCCATCGTTGGTTCACTCCTCAATGCTGAGAGATGTCCCATCCCAACGACTCAAGCCACCACTGTGGTCTGCCAGCTGTGCCTCGCAGGAAGCAGGACTGAGGAGCAGAGCCAGGGCTCAAACCCAAGCTCTCAGCTAGGGAGGCAGATATCCCCCCCGGCATCTCAGCTGCCACCAAACACTCACCCCACAAAAAAATTTTAAATCTGATTTATCTTTCTCCAGAAGAAGGTGTACAGGCCCAGCGCAACAGCTCAATTGGCTAACTCCTCCAATGGAGTTTTGGGATGGCCCAAAGCCTTGGGACCGTGTACCCGCGGGGGAGACCCAGAAAAAGCTCTTGGCTCCTGGCTTTGGTTTGCCTCAGCTCTGGCCGTTGTGGCTATTTGGGGAGTGAACAAGCAGATGGAAGATTTCTCTCGCTTTCCTTCTCTGTGTAAATCTGTCTTCCCAATAAAAGTGAATACATCTTTAAAACAAAAGAGGGTTCACATTTACTTGAAATACTAGGAAGCAGTTGTAATGCTGAAAGACAATTTAAACTGCAGCAACTTTGCCCTTGAACCTTTCAAGTGACTTCGGAAAAACAAGAAATTTAAGAATGGCCTTGATATTCACTGATGGAAATAAAATTTCTCCCATCCAGGTACTAACCAGACTGCATTCAGGGTGGTATGGCCGTAGACCACTGATGGAAATAAAATTTCTAACCAAATCAATTATATGTCCATAAATATTCAATTTTTAATTAAAGTTTTAGAATGTAAACTTTTTAAAAAGGTCATACAACACAAACTCTGGAAAATGCATAATGAAAATAAAACAAAAGCCCACACCTGATATTGATAAGCTTTTCTAGACTGGTATAACAAAGTAGTGGATTTAAAACAACATAGTTCTACAGTATTAAATTTATTTTCTCAATAAATTAATACTTAATACCTATGTATCTCAACCAGCTGTCCAGTTAATAATAATAGTCTCAGACCCCAATCAATGAAACTTGGCTGAGTAAACCTGCATTCAGTGATTTCTTTTTTTTTTTTAACTTTTTAAAGATTTATTTATATGAAAGACAGAATAATGGAGAGAGATAGGAAGAGAAAGAAAGAGATCTTCTTTCTTCTGGTTCACTCCCCAAAGGACCACAATAGCTGGGGCTGGGCAGGGTCGAAGCCAAGAGCTTCCTCCAGATCTCCCATGTTGGTGCAGGGACTAGAGCATCCGGGCCGTGCTCCACTGCTTTACCAAATGCACCAGCAGGGAGCTGGATAGGAAGTGGAGCAGCCAGGAGTTGCTGGCATTGCAAGCAATGGCCTGATCTACTATGTTACAATTCCAGCATCTCTTCCAATTTTTGAAATATCTCATGTTTTCCTCTGTATTCCCTCCATAAACTTTAACAGTCACTTTTTTCTCTCTTATTTAAGTGACAAACAAATACACTTGTTTCTATGTCTCAGTAGTGTCTGGTACTATACAAAATACACATTCTAAATATTACTAGCGTCTGTGGCAGGCATAACATGGCTGTTATGAAACACTCTGGATATTTGTTTACAAAATATATCAGAGTACAGTATCTCTAAAAACAGCCCTGAGCCCAGAACTTTTCCTTCTGCAGCTCTAATGGCTTTTCTTTTTGTCTGGGTAACTCTAGCATTGCCTCAAAGCCTAGCTTGGCTGTGCCCTTCCGGTGACTCCCCGACTCTGATGGCACCGCTCCTGCTGTGTTCTTACTGCACGTGCTCTGGTCTTCCTCCATAGGACTCGTCATGTGTTGTTGTCATCTGAGTCCCATCTAGAGCTGCAGTTCTCAAATGTTTTGGCCCCGGGGACCTATGAACAATCACTGACAGGCAGGATTTGGTATGGTGGGGAAGACGCTGCCTAGGACATTCACAGCTTACAACGCGGGACCTGGTCTATTCGCAGTGTCCTGCATACGTGAAGGGGGAAGCACCTGTCGCACAGGTGGAAGAACTGGGCTGAGCTCCTGGGCCAACCCCCACTTTGTGAACATCTGTGGAGTAAGCCATGGATGAGAGATCTCTGACGTTGAAATAAATAACAATTCAGAAATAAGAAAAATTTGACAGTTCCAATGAGTTTTAGTATATGCGGAATACAGAAAGCATTAAAATACTCATTTGAAAACAACAATCCATTATTTGTTAACAGAAATCACACTTTTATAAAAATGTTCCTAAAATAAGTCATTTTTACATTTTTACAAATTTCTTCACTGTCTGACTAGACAAACAGTGAATGGATTCTCATTATCTACTTCTGCTTTCCATCTTTTATGATACTGTGCATCTTACAGGCACCACAGAATTATAGAGAACACCCAAGAAAGAATAACAGCAAAAAGTGCAAATGTAGCCTTGGTAACTAACACCATGAAAAGAATTTAGACCTTATAGATCCTTTTCTACAAGAGTCTCTCCCCTGAGAATCTGTACCACACCTCTAGAAATATGGCCCTAGGGCCCGGCGCAATAGCCTAGTGGCTAAAGTCCTATGTGCTGGGATCCCATATGGGCGCCAATTCTAATCCCAGTGGCCCCACTTCCCATCCAGCTCCCTCCCTGCTTGTAGCCTGGGAAAGCAGTTAAGGACAGCCCAAGGACTCGGGATCCTGCACCAGTGTGGGAGACCCAGAAGAGACTCTGGGCTCCTGGCTTTGGATTGAATCAGATGTGGCTGTTGCGGCCACTTGGAAAATGAGCCAGAGTATGAAAGCCCTTCCTCTCTATCTGACTTTCCAATAAAAATAAATAAGTCTTTAAAATGAAGGAAGGAAGGGAGGAAGGCAGGCTGCCCTAAAGAGCAGCCTCTGGAAGTCAATGTTTTCTTGTTATAGTGTTACAGCAGACCCTGAAATGGTGTATGCTCAGAACAAGTATACAACACATCCTTTTTAAGTACACAAATAAGTGAATACACTTATGGATAAAAAGGTGATTAAAAACGAATTCAGCAAGGAAAGACGAGAGTCCCGAGCCAGTAATGAGAGGCAGGTTACCATCCATCTGGATCAGCAGCTCAGACTTGACTCTGCGACTTGCCTCGTGTTCATCAGAAGTTCCTCTTCGACTGCAGATGGAATCTATCTCATCAATGAAGATGGTGGTAGGAGCATAGAATCTGGCCTTCATGAAAATATTTTAATGAAATAATTCAATGATCTCATAAAACAATCGGAATAGTTTTTAAAATACCACATAGCATTTTGTTGGTTTTTAAAAACAAAGACAGAACAGTTGGAATTTCTCACTGTATCAATGCCTCCATCTGGTTATTGATAGAGGCTAAATCGGTCATTCATATCAGAAAAGGAAATTTCTGGAAATGAACGTTACATGATCTGTGAAGTTAGGCGACAGATGCTATAGAATCACTGTCCTGTTTTTGTGTCTTGAAAGTTCCATAAGGAAAAAAATTTTAAAGATAAATCATCTGCCCTCAAATGTACATTCTTAATTATCACCTAAATCCCTTATGCAAAGGGAACAGACTTTAATGACAGACAAATTTCCAACTGGTTTCTGTAACATATCCAACAAGCCCGTCTTCCCTCGTCGGACATGATACCAACAGGCGTCCTCATTCTCACGAAGGAACCTATGCCCAAGACGCAGCAACTCGCACAAAGCTAACCACCTCGCCCTCTTGGTGCACCCACACTACAGCACAGTGCCCCCTTTAAAAAGCACACCTCGGGGAACAGACCCAGGTCATGGGGGGGAAGGGGCATCGTGTGCCTACACACGCGGCAGGTGGAGAAACCTGAATACATCATCACTCACCATTTCAAACAACAGACGGACTAACTTCTCAGATTCCCCTCTGTACTTAGACGTCAGCGTGGAAGAGGACACGTTGAAGAACGTTGTGCCACATTCAGTGGCAACGGCTTTGGCTAACATAGTCTTACCAGTGCCTGGGGGCCCAACCATTAGCACACCCTGAAATTACAAAAGAGGAACTAAATGAAACATAAAAGATTTTAATAGAATATCATCAATTATTAAAATGTACATGAAGATTTTCTCATCAAAACCAATTGTTACCAAATCATGGTGCATTTTGCAAGAGTACAAAAAATGAAGGGTAGTTTCACGAAACATCTCAATTAGAGGTAGTGAGACAAGCTAACAAAAGGTCCAAGAACCTGCTCATACATTTAGAAAGAATCCTTTCTCCTGAACCTGGCACGAGATGTGTATATTTAGTCCTGAGTACAGCTCAAGAATGACTGCTCCAAGTATAACGGAAATAAAATGCCATCTGCCCCAGGTAAAAATTAAGCCGTCCCTGCTCCCCATCAGGCATAAAAACCATCTTCCCCAAAGCACTTAATACACATTAAGTATGTGAGTATATGTGCAGGTATGTGTGTGTTACAGATTTTCATAAAAATTTTAAATCCAATAGTGAGTTAACAAGATGGCGGCTATCCAGTGTGATTCAAGAATAATCAAGTTAGCTACAATTGTATCAGTTTATCAGACCATTAGAAAACATCCAGTGTTAGTGATGAAAAATAAATGAAAGACGGGCTAGAAACAAACTTGAGTTACTTCTCATTTCTGCAAATAAATGACAAAAATGTTCTATTACAGCAAATCAGTAACAAAACCTCAAGTCTCAAAGACTAACAGATTTTTAATCATTATTATTTTCTTCCAGCACTTTAATGGGCATTTAGATACCCAGCTATTACTGCATTTCTTCAGGATAACAGAATTATAAACCAACTGTTAATTCAGTTTGATAAGCTTCTGGGAATTCAAACTTTGAAAATTATGTACATATTAAGGTCTCACAAACTTCAAATTGAGAAACTGCATAAGCCTTTTTCTCGCTTTAAAGAATTTCAACTATCTCTGCCTTTCAAGTAGATGAAGATAAATTAATAAAGAAAGCCATGATTCGCAGCACACCCAAGACTTCAGACACTCATTTCAGAAAAGCTTCTTGCTCTGTAGGGAGCCCTTAACTGTGTCTGAGACTGAGATTCTGAAAATAACTGGCGTTACGGCTCCTGCTGCAAGGCACATCTGCCCAAAGTTCCTATTTCTCTTCCTAATACCTCATTTCGAGAGTCCCCCAGTCCTGCATGTCATTAGTGTGGCCCCCCTGCAACAGGAGTTCATTTCCCACACTGGTGTCAACACACACACACAACCTGGACACAATGCAGCACTTGTAAATGTCACCTCCTTGTGGTATTCCTTTTTCATTCATCTCTTGGTCCTGTTCCTCCTTGGTTCCTTGTTCTTTCCTCTCAGTATATGAACACACTTGTATCTGTCATATTAAAAGAAATAGATCTTTGTGGCAGGCACATAGCACAGAGTTAAGCTGCTGCTTGACATATCTGCATCCCATATATCGTAATGCCTGGAGTCCCAGCTGAGCTTCGGATCCAGCATCACAAATGTTCCTGGATGGCAGCAGCTAACCTGAGTTCCTGCTACCCATGTTGGAGATCCAGATGAAATTTCAGCTTTCTGGCTTTAACCTGGTCTAGCCCCCAGCTATTACAAGCATTTAGTGGAAATTTACCACTAGACAGATATCTCTCAGGCTTGTGTGTGTGTGTGTGTGTACGCACACCAGCCAACCATTTGGCCTCTCAAAGAAATAATTTAAAAAATTTTTCAGTTGAACTTTTCAATTCACTAGCTACTATTTACCTAGCGGAACTTCTCTTCACTGCCTACCTTTATGTTCCTGATTTATTCTTCAAACTACAATCTGACTTCTGCCTTCACCCCTCATTTAAAATACCTAAGTTATACCAGCCAATATTCCCATCAGTAAAGCAGGGTACCATCCTCCCCACATCCATGCCAGCAGGTGTTAGCAGACCAAATGCAGGCCAGTCTCACTGGAGTTAGGTGAAACCTCAATGTGGTTTTTGTCTATATTTCCCTAGTAGCTAGGGAGGCTGAACATTTTTTCAGGTCTTTAGTCATCTGAATTGGTTCTTTTGAAAAATGCCTGTTCATTCCCTTTCACCCATGATTTTACAGGGTTGTCTGTTTTACTGTTATTGAGTTTCTCCTTGTAGATCCTGGATGTTAGTCTCCTATCTGTTGTCTAGTGTGCAAAGATTTTTTTCCCATCCTGTTGGTTGTCTCTTCGCTTTGTTGATCATTTCCTTTGCTGTACAGAAGGTTTTAATTTAATGTAGTCCCAATAGTTTATTTTGGCTTTGACTACCTGTGTTTTTGGTGACTTTTCTAAGAAGTCTTTACCAATACCTATATTTCATAGAGTGCTTCCTATGCTTTCCTTGAACAGTTTGATGGTTTCTGGGTTCAGATTTAGGTCCTTGATCTATTTAAAGCTGGTTTTTATATAGGATGAAAGGTGGGGTCTTGCTTCTTACTTCTGCAAGCTGCTATCCAATGGTCCCAACAGCATTTGTTAAAGAGACAAAACATTTTTCCTGGTTTAAGTTCTCATGTCAAAAAATTATGTTAGCCATTCTGCAAGTCAGTATGGAGAGTACTAAGACAACTGAAAGTTGATTTACCATCTGATCCAGCCATACCACTCCTGAGAATACAGTGAAAACAAAAGAAATCTGTGTATCAGAAAGTGACTTGCAACTTTACAATTACAGCAGAACAATCGACAATAACAAAGACATGGAAACAACTCTGGTGCCCATCAAAAGAGGAATGGGTAAAGGAACTGTGGTATATCTATTCTATGGAATACTACTCAGCAATTAAAAAGAGTGAAATTTTAGTTCCAGTGTGATGGCTCAATGGCTAAAGCTTTACCTTGTAAGTGCAAGGATACCATGTGGGAGTTGATTTGTGTTCCAGCTGCCCCTACTTCCCATCCAGTTCCTTACTGCTGGCCTGGGAAAGCAATAGAGGATGGCCCAAAGCACTGGCACCCTGTACCCATGTGGGAGACCCAAAAGAAGCTCCTGGCTTTGAACTGGTTCACCTCCAGCCATTGTAGCCATTGGGGAGTGAACCAGTGGATGGAAGACCTTTCTGTGTCTTTCCTTCGTCCCATAAATCTGATCTGCTTTTTCAATAAAAATGAATAAATCTAAAAAAAAAAAAGAATGATATTCTATCATTTGCAACAAAATGGTCCCTACTAGAGACCATTATGCTCAGTGAATTAAGCCAATGCCCATAGGACAAATAAGGCAAGCTTCATGCAATAGACAACATAAATAGATACATAGATAAATGTGCATATATTTTACTCATAGATGAACCATTTAATGAAGACTAGCATACTGGGAAGTCAAGATACATTGCAGTATGTGTCTCTGCATCCAAACAAAAGGATTCCCAATGAAACTCAACAACTGGATCCTTGACTTGCTGCCACTGTCTATACCTACAATGCCACAATACACTTAAACAGCAGAATGTTGGACTTGTGGCTGTTGTTGAAAGACTAAACTATTGTAATAATAAGGTGGAAAACAATGGAGGGGGAAGCTAATGGACGGATGCAGAAGGGGATTCCTTTGCCTATGGAACCATATCATAAAATATAACACATAACATTTTTTAAATGTAAAAATAATAAGACACCTAAGTTATGAATCCAGTGGTCACTGCTACACCCCTGCCTCTGCTCTGACCCAGGTGCCACTGGCTTGTGACATTTATCCCCTCCCCCCCAAGCCCCGCCTCTCTTCAGTCAGTCTAGGACACCACCTGACACTTCTCCTACTGTTTTCAGGGTCTCTCAGAGACCTCTTTGTCCTCTTGCTCTTTTCATTTGCAAAGCAAGTCTAAGAATCTTGCTCCTTCCTTTCACAAAATTCCTTGAACAAACTCATTATGCCCATGTCATCATCAATCATTTATAACTCACAATTTTGATCTAAACTCCAATTTATCCTAAGCATCAGATTTTTACTTGCAATTACACACTGAGATTTTAAACGTGCTTTGCTTCTATTTAAATCTGCTCCATTCTCAGTTTCCAGTATCAGCTCACTGTTCCCTGCAAAATAAAGAACTGTGCTGGCCTTTGTCCCCCATTTCTGGAAGGTGGCATCTAACTCTGATTCACTCAGTGAGACGGAAGCATGTCTGTTATTCACAATGAGCTCTGAAATTTTATGCTAATAGAGTGATTCACAGGGAGCCCCCATACAGTTTATGCTAACAAGATGACTCAGGATGGAGGCTGAGCATGGCAGAACATCCAATCGTGTGATTAGGCAGGCAGCGCTCTGAGCCGTGGGATCGCCTCTCAGCCTGCAGACTAACACCAGGGACAGTGATCACTCAATCATGCTTACGTCATCAAAGCCCACAGCAGCTCGGAACAGCTTCCAGGTTTGGCAACCTAATACAAAGCGCTCTCCATCGTCACACTTCCCTTTGCCAGGACACTAAAACAACCTGCCTCCACCAGGAAGGGACAAAAGCATCAGATTCAGAATTCTTGACCTTGTGCTGGCATTTCTCCCTTTAGCTGTCTGATTTACAGCTTCTGGCTGTAGCAGAACTATGATCTTCAGCACAGCACTTTGCTGAGCTCTGAGTCATTATGGAGAACGGCTGAACCTGAGGCAGTTATGCCCTCTTGGTACATGGCCAGCTAGTCCTCCATAAGGGTGATCTGGGGGCAGTCATGAAAACCTGTTCCCAGTCATAAGGTGCTCCCCACTGGGTACCAGTGGTCTCAGGAAGTCTTTTGACTCAGGCCTGTAATTTGGGAGTCAGACAGCTTGTACCTTTCTTGTAAATTATCACTTAAATCTTCCAACCATCTCCTACAAATACACCCATTTTCCACCATTAGCCAACACCTCTGTCCTGGTCCTCACTGCTTAGCTAGATTGTTCTAACAGCCCGCAGATCAGGCTCCTTTCATTACACCCACCTGCATCCATCTGTACATTTGCCCATCACCTCCTTTTAAAATCTCACTGTGGTTCCCTGCCCTCTTACAGGGCTTGTTTAGC